GTCGTTGACGACTATTCGCGTTACACCACAGTCTTCCCCTTGTGCCGCAAGGGTGAGGTCAGTGAGGTGCTGACCAACTAGATCTGCGCTGCCTGTCGCCAGCTCAACAAGAGTTTCGGCTTGGACCTTCTTGTTCTGCGTCTGCACTCTGATAGAGGTGGAGAGTTTTCCTCCAACCTTTTGCAGGCTTTTTGTCGTGCGGAGGGCATCCGCCAGACGTTCGCGCTTCTGGCACCACAGTCTTCCCCTTATGCCGCAAGGGTGCGGTCAGTGAGGTGCTGATCAACTAGATCTGCGCTGTCTGTCGCCAGCTCAGCGAGAGTTTCGGCTTGGACCTTCCTGTTCTGCGTCTGCACTCTGATAGAGGTGGAGAGTTTTCCTCCAACCTTTTGCAGGCTTTTTGTCGTGCGGAGGGCATCCGCCGGACGTTCACGCTTCTGGCCTCCCCACAGCAGAATGGGATTGCTGAGCGCCGCATTGGCATGGTCAAGGACGTAGCTCGTACGTCCATGGTCCATGCGGCTGCTCCCCATTTTCTATGGCCGTTCACAGTTCAGTACGCTGCGCATCAGCTCAACCTCCAGCCCCGTGTCTCCGTTCCAGAGACTACACCTGCTCTGCGGTGGACGGGGAAGGTTGGCGATGCGTCTGTGTTCCATGTCTGGGGATCTCGAGCCTTTGTCCACGATTCTTCCGCGGACAAGCTGTCCTCCCGTGCTGTTTCCTGTGTCTTCTTTGGCTTCCCCTCTGACGCGCCTGGCTGGCAATTTAACCACCCCACCTCGCGCTGTCTTCTTGTCCTCTCTGGACGTCATGTTTGACAAGTCCGTTCCCTTTTACTGACTCTTCCCCTACCGCACTGTCCCTCTCCCCCCCCCCCCCCCCCCGCCGCTCTTCCTAGCACCAAGTCCTCCTCGTGTAGACCCCCTCCCCCCTCAGGGTCCTGCCCCCTCAGGTGTGTCCCAGGTAGACCCAGTCGAGCCTGTCGAGGTAGCTGTTGACTCTGGTACTGCTAGGGGTGCTGAGCCTGCGGGTGCGGGGCCTAGGGGTGCTGAGCCTGAGCGTGCAGAGCCTGGGGGTGCTGAGTCTGGGGTTGCTGAGTTTGAGGTGTCAGAATATTATTCTCTAGCCTGTAGTGGGGTGCTCTATAGCGAGTACAACCCATCTAGGGTTTGCTATATGTATCCTCATTGCTGCTAGTGAAATCCTCCTTCTTTGCCTGAACTTTCACTTGCCTACCTAGGACTTACCTAGCTGTGGCTCCTCACTATAACTAATTCTCTCACATGGTTTCAAAACACTCATGCTCCCGGCCTGTGGGCCCTACTGCTGCTTCCGCTGCCCTACTCTATGTCGCATGCCTTGTGGCGCACGACCTCCAAGCGCGCGGCGGTCTTCTGCCCGCCCGTGCGCCCCAAGGCGCGCGGCGGTTTCCTGCCGTGGGGGAGCCCGCGCGCGCCTCGCCTGTCCGTCGCGGCGCCCTGGGGGGCCCGCGAGCGCCCCGCCCGTCCCTCGCGACGCCGTGGGGAGCCCGCGAGCGCCCCGCCCGTCCGTCGCGACGCACTGGGGAGCCCGTGAGCGCCCCACCCGTTCGTCGCGACGTCCTGAGGAGCCCGCGCGCGCCCCGCTTGTTCGTCGCGGCACCCTTGGGAGCCTGCACGCGCGCCGTCAGGCCGTCGCGGCGCCCTAGAGAGCCGCGCGCGCGTCCCTTCCGCGTGTTCGCCGCGGTGCCCTGGGGAGCAGCGCGCGCTACCCCCCTCCACCCGCCCAGCCCATTCGTTTTGGCGCCCTGGGGGTCTCGCGCTTCGGCCCCCCTCACCATCCCCCGCGCTCCTGCCCCTATCCCACCCGTTTTAGGGTTTTGGGGGTGAGGAGTGTGGGGGTGATGGTTGTGGGGGGTGTCGATTGTGCGCGCCGTCCCCTTCTCCTCCTCCTCCTTCGTCTCCACTGCTGCAGCTATCGCTGAGGGGGGTGGATGTATGGGAGTCTGGGGTTTAGGGTTTAAGGGGGGTGCTATGGGAGTGGAGCTAGGGTTTGTGCAGGGGGTGTGTGAGAGGGGCGTTGGGCAGCAAGGGGAGGTTGAGTGGAGGCAGCAGTCTTGTCGCCAGCAGCACCAGCAATCCGGAGGCTACAATCTCCGGTAGTTGCTAGTCGCCTATGGGTCAGTTGCTCCGGTCTGGAGGCTGCAATCTCCGCGGAGCAAGTTACTCCTGTAGTCCGGGCCTTTGCTTTGGTAGCCACTGAGCCAGCAGCTCCTGTGTGTCTGGAGCTTCAGCAGTCGCCTCCCATCTTCTCTCCCCCACAGTCTCTCCTCCTCCTCACTTGCCCTCTGTGATTAGCTCTAGCTTTGCTTACCTTTGTGAACTCCTGCTCCATACCTGCTTGCTCATTGTACTGATTATACCCCACTTTGGCTATGGGGGTGTGTCAGAATGTTATTCTCTAGCTTGTAGTGGGGTGCTCTATAGCGAGTACAACCCATCTAGGGTTTGCTATATGTATCCTCATTGCTGCTAGTGAAATCCTCCTTCTTTGCCTAAACTTTCACTTGCCTACCTAGGACTTACCTAGCTGTGGCTCCTCACTATAACTACTTCTCTCACATGAGGGTGTAGAGCCTGGGGTTGCTGAGCCTGAGAGTGTGGAGCCTGAGGGTGCGGAGCATGGGGGTGCTGAGCCTGAGAGTATGGAGCCTGAGCGTGCTGAGCCTGGAGGTTCTTTGTCCTCTGGAGGTCCTACGGGTGTCTTGTCCCGGCGGGAGCCGCTCTCTACACCACAGCTGCGCGAGTGGTTTGCTCGGCGCTGGAGCCGTACTGGTGGAGCTGGAGGTCCTGCTGCTACTGGAGATGCTGGAGGTTCTGGAGCCACTGGTCCCGGAGGTGCTTGTACTGGAGGTACTGGAGCTTCTGGGGCTGGTGGTGCTGCAGGAGTTGGAGCTGGAGTCACTGGAGCTGTTCCTGCTGGTGGTGCTACTGGTGCTGGAGCTAGTGGTGCTGCATAAGTTGGAGCTGGAGGCGCTGGAGCTGTTCCTATTGGTGGTGTTGCTGGTGTTGGAGCTAGTGGTGCAGGAGTTGGAGCTGGAGACTCTGGAGCTGGAGGTCGTGGTGCTGTCTCTGCTGGTTCTGGAGGTGCTGCATGGCCACAGCCGTACTTCGTTCCACTCCTTCAGCAGGTTCTTAGCCTCCCACCCTCTACTGGTCCTAATCCCCCCTTACTGTGTCCGCCGCCTTATCAATCGCAGTCGCAGTTACCGCCACCCTCCCCGCTGCCTCGTCCTTCTCCTTAAACTAGACCAACTAGAGGTCTTGCTGAGTGTCGTCAGCCTACGTCTCGCCCTGCGTCGCCTGTTCGTGCTGCTCGCACTATTCATCGTGTTCCACATCCGCGTCCTCCTCGTGTCCTCGGCACGCACCAGATGGCACTCCATCCTTCCTCTGTTCCACTGTGTGTCCCTCTCCCGTCTCCTCCTCCGTCCTCCCTTGCTCACGGTCCGGACCCCGAGTTTGACTCACTTCATGCTGCTAGCCCTACTATCACCGTCTGATAGCTACGATTGTCACTGACCCTTCATTTGAGTTCACTTTGTCAGTAGATCTGCACCGTGGATGCCCGATTGATCCTGGAGAGGGTTACAGGCGCATTCGCCTGGGGGGTTATGGGCGCACTGACCCACTACTCAAACAACCCCTTTTATCCCAATGGTCTAGTGCTTGGGATTCTGACGTGGTATCAGAGCGGTCTCGGGTTCGATTCCCGGTGTATGCACATGTAGGCCGTTGTCGCTGTGCTTAGTCCTGGGCCTCTCAGTGTGGGGGGGGTGTCAGTAGATCTGCACCGTGGATGCCTGATTGATCCTAGAGAGGGTTACAGGCGAGTTCGCCTGGGGAGTTATGGGCGCACTGACCCGCTACTAAAACAAGCCCTTTTATCCCAATGGTCTAGTGGTTGGGATTCTGACACACTGTTGCGTCTGCCTTAGTTGCTGAGCTTGTCAACTTTGCTGCTCGCTATCGTCTCGACCACACCGCTAGTCTTGTTGCTGAGTCTGACTCTGTCTGTCCTCCGTGCGTCAGGGGTAGTGTGCCCTTGACACGGACGTCCTTGAGGACAAGCAGGAGGACCTTGAGTGTTTTGCGTCATCTCGTGTCCATGCTGATCGCACCTGAGGGAGACTTGGATGCACCAGGCATCGCGACCCCGCGCTCTTACGCAGAGGCGATAGAGGGTCCCTACTCCTCTTAGTGGCAGTCAGCCATGGACGAAGAGATGGCATCCTGGAAGTCCACATGCACTTACGTTGACGAGGTTCCTCCTCCTAGGGCGAACATAGTCAGTGGCATGTGGACTTTCGGGGTGAAGCGGCCACCGGGTTCTCTGCCTGTCTTCAAGGCGCGTTACGTTGCACGAGGCTTCAGTCAGCGATAGGGAGTTGACTTCTTCCAAACCTTCTACCCGACCCCGAAGGTGACCACTCTTTGGGTTCTGCTGCACGTCACCGCTCAGCGTGACTATGAGCTTCACTCTCTTGACTTCAGCACTGCTTTCTTACAGGGCTGCTTGCACGAGGAGATCTGGCCTCGCCTCCCACCTAGCTTCACCGGGTCGTTTCCTCGTGGTACCTAGTGGAGCCTCCGGCGGCTAGTTTACGGTCTTTGCGAGGCGCCTCGCGATGGCACGAAACACTGAGGACGACTCTTGCGGCTCTTGGGTTTGCTCCTTCTACTGCTGACCCGTCGCTGTTTCTACGCACCGACAATTCGCTGCCGTCGTTCTACATCCTTGTGTATGTCGACAACTTGGATTTTGCCATTGCTAACACTGAGGCACTGACTCTAGTGAAGTCAGATCTGCAGAAAAGACAAACTGATGGAAACCGAGAGAATCTGGAGAGCGTACAAGAGATTAAGTCCGCCGACTTCGACGGAACATTGCGTACGACCTTGTACGACACTGTAGTTGCACGCTACTCTTCCCCTGCCACTGCTGCACTGAGCCGCCTCATGCTACTGTTCCTCTTCCCTAACCTTGCTGCCTTTCCCACTGTCTCTGACCTCATTACGCACCTCCGCACAATTGAAACTCGCTACCGCGCTGCGCTTCCTGCTAAGTTCTGCACCAAGAACCCCCCCCCCCCCCCCCCCCCCATGTACATCACCCTCTACTACATAGTCACCCGGCTCCCTGACTCTCTCCGTGTAGTCAAGGACCACTTCCTCTCAGTTTGCCCCACCAGTCTCACCGTTGACCTCCTCGAGAAGGCCCTCCTACCGATAGAGAAGAGAATAGTCCTTGTAGGAGCCTCTCGTGGTGAACCTCGCACCCCCGTCTTTGAGGGGTGTTCTCCCTCCCCCCTCTTGCCCTCTGTTGCCTGTGCTGCTGCGACCGACCTCGTTGGTTTCGAGTCGGTCGTCGCTGCATCTGCCCCGAGCGGGAGACGCCGCACCGGCAAGGGAAAGGGGGGGCTTGAGGGGGCGGTAGAGGTGGTGGTGGAGGTAGTGGAGGGAGTGGGGGTGGTGATGGGAGTGGTACCGGGGGTGGCGGCGGCGGCAGCAGCGATGGAGGCGGTGGAGGTGGCGGAGGGAGCGGAGGCGGTGGAGGTAGTGGAGGAGGCAGAGGTGGAGGAGGCGGCGGAGGCGGCGGCGGCAGCGGAGGCGGCGGCGGCAGCGGAGGCGGCGGTGGTGGAACGGGTCGCGACTCTGCTCAGAGGAGTGGCGCCGGTGGTGGTCAGCGCCAGCAGTAGCAGCGGAGTGGTGTGACCCTGTCCCCTCAGCAGCTTCGTGAGTGGTACACTGTGCGTCAGCGCGGTGGGGGTTTTGGTCCCTACGCTTACCTCCTCCGTACCGGCGACCGCACTGGTGAGCAGTGCGGAGGCCCGCAGTCCACCCAGCGCTGCTTTGGTCGCCTGACAGACGCGTGGCGTTGCCAGTTCCCTGAGGCGTCAGAGATCCCTCGCTGGGGAGATCTGACTAAGGCCGAGGTTGCTATCTTTGATCTTGACTTTGATGCTATTCTTGCTGCTATGTATGCTGTTGATACTAGTGTTGAGGGTGCATGTTACCTATGTGTACCGCCTGACCCGGCATTGAGGCCGCTGCTCTAGGTGCTGGTGAGGCTGCTGCTCTAGGTGCTAGTGCGTCTGTTGCCCCAGGTGCTGGTGTGTGTGCTCTCTCATGTACTGCGTCAGCTCAGGCCTTTCACACCTTCACCCTGGACTCGGGTGCGTCCCGCTCCTTCTTTCGAGACCGCACCACTCTTACGCCGCTTAGTCGGCCGGTTGCAGTCTCCCTTCTAGACCCCTCTGGGGGTCTTATCCTTGCTAGCTTCTCCACTTACCTACCATGCCCGGCAGCCCCCTCTGGCATCCTGTCTGGTCTCTACCTCCCCTCGTTCTCCACGAACTTGGTGAGTGGAGCGGACCTTCATGATAGGGAGGTTGACCAGTTCACTCCTGCGAGTCAGCGATTGACCCACTGCACGTGTGCTCGGACAGGCCGACACTTGGCCACGTGCACCCGTCCGCCAGGGTCGAGCCTGTACACCCTTACTTCTAAGTCTCCTTCTACTGCAGAGTCTGCCCAGGTAGCTGCGTTGAGTGCGGTGTTTGCTGCGGTGTCCAGGTCCGGTCCTGCGTCTACTCCCTGCTCGTGGGGGGACAGCGCGCCGCTCCTCACTCCTCTGAGTTTCCTCCCACAGAGGCTCCGCTGCACACTCTCCATATGGACGTGTGGGGCCCAGCCCGCGTTAGTGGGCAGGGACGCGAGCGGTACTTCCTGCTGGTGGTTGACCACTTCTCCCGTTACACCACTGTCTTCCCCTTGCGTAGCAAGGGTGACGTCACTGAGGTGTTGATCGACTTGATCCGCGCAGCTCATCTCCAGCTCAGAGAGAGTTTCGGCTTGGACTTTCCTGTTCTGCGTTTGCACTTGGAGAGAGGCGGGGAGTTTTCCTCAGCCCGTCAGGGAGCCTTCTGTCGTGCAAAGGGCATCCGCAAGACCTTGACACTTCCGGTCTCTCCACAGCAAAATGGGATTGGTGAGCGCCGCATTGGCATGGTCATTGACGTCGCTCGTACGTTCATGATCCATGCGGCTGCCCCCCATTTTTTGTGGCTGTTTGCGGTTCAGTACGCACCGCATCAGCTCAACCTTCAGCCCCGGGTCTCCTTGCCAGAGACCTCCCCCGCCTTGCGGTGGACCGGGAAGGTTGGCGATGCGTCTGCGTTTCGGGTCAGGGGATCTCGGGCGTTTGTCCGCGACTTGTCTGCATACAAGCTGTCCCCGCGTGCTGTTCCTTGCGTCTTCCTTGGCTTCCGCCTTCACGCGCCTGGGTGGCAATTTTACCACCCCACCTCGCGCCGTGTTCTGTCCTCCCAGGACATCACCTTTGACGAGTCGGTGCCTTACTACCGTCTCTTCCCCTACCGCACTGCGCCCCTCCCCCTGCCACCGCTCTTTCGTGCGCGAGGTCCTCCCAAGGTAGATCCCCTCCCCCCTCAGGGTCCTGCCCCGTCAGGTGTGTCCTAGGTAGACGCAGTCGAGCCTATTGAGGTAGCTGTTGACTCAGGTGCTGCTAGAGGTGCTGAGCCTGCGGGTGCCGGGTCTGGGGGTGCTGAGTCTGGGGTTGCTGAGACTGGGGGTGCTGAGCCTGGGGGTGCTGAGTCTGGGGGTGTTGAGCCTCGGGGTGCTGAGCCTAGAGGTGCTAAGCCTAGGTGTGCGGAGCCTGGGGGTGCTGGATCTGCTCGTGTGGCCGCTGGTGGTGCTTCGTGGAGGCGGGAGCCGCTCTCTCCACAGGAGCTACGTGAGTGGTTCGCCCGCCACTGGAGAAGTGCTGCTGAGTCTGAGGGTGCTGCTGGAGCTACTAGAGTTGGTCCTGCTGGAGTTGCTGTCGGTGCTGGTGGTGCTCGAGGTGGAGCTGCAAGGGGTGTTGGCGCTGGTGTTTCTACTAGTGATTGTGCGTGTAGGGGTGCTGCTGAGACTCCCGTAATGACCGTCCTACTAACCCTGACTCCCTTCGTGCTGCTAGTCCTTCGGTCACGGGCCTTCTTGCTACTGTTGTCACTGACAATTCCTTTGAGTCCACAGTTGCGTCTGCTCTAGTTGCTGAGCTTGTCGACTTCGTTGTTCAGGGTCGTCTAGACTACGCTGCTAGTCTCGTTGCTGGGTCTGAGTCTGTCTGTCCTTCGTCCGTTGGGGGTGAGTGTGCTCTTAGCACGGACGTCCTTGAGAACACGCATGAGGAGTTCCAGTGCTTTGCGGCTGCTTTGCCCCATCTCGTGTCCACGCTGATTGCCTCTGAGGGAGACCCGGATGCACCAGACATCCCGACTCCTCGATCGTACGCTAAGGCGATTGAGGGTCCCTACTCCTCTTAGTGGCAGTCAGCCATGGACGCAGAGATGGCTTTCTGGAAATCCACAGGCACCTACGTCGACGAGGTTCCCCCACGTGGGGCGAACATCGTCAGTGGCATGTGGATTTTCAGGGTGAAGCGGCCGCCGGGCTCTCCGCCTGTCTTCAAGGCGCGGTACGTGGCTCGAGGCTTCAGTCAGCGGCAGGGAGTTGACTACTTTCAGACCTTCTCTCCCACCTCGAAGATGACCACTCTTCGGGTGCTGCTGCACATAGCCGCTCAGCGCGACTACGAGCTTCACTCTCTTGACTTCAGCACACCTTTCCTGCAGGGCAGCCTGCACGAGGAGATCTAGCTGCGCCGCCCTCCTGGCTTCACCGGGTCGTTTCTTCTTGGTACCCAGTGGAGTCTCCGGCAGCCACTCTACGGTCTCTGCCCGGCGCCACGTGATTGGCACGACACACTGAGGACTACACTTGCGGCTCTTGGGTTTGCTCCTTCTACAGCCAACCCGTCGATGTTTCTGCGCACCGACACCTCTCTGCCGCTGTTCTGCATCCTCGTCTATGTCGACGACTTGGTCTTTGCCACTGCTGACACTGCTGGACTTGCCCACGTGAAGTCCGAGCTGCAGAAGAGAGACATGTGCACAGACCAAGGATAACTGCGCAGCTACCTTGGCTTGTAGATCACCCAGGACAGAGCATAGCGCACCATTATACATGGTGCAGCAGGTCCTTCAGCGCTTCGGCTTCATGTACTCCTCGCCTCAGGCCACTCCTCTGTCTACTCGCCACTCGCTCTCAGCTCTCCCTTCGTATGAGTCGGTAGAGTCGAGTGGCCCGTACGGAGAGCTTGTTGGCTGCCTCATGTACGTGATGACCTGCACACGACATGACCTTGCATACCCTCTTAGCATCTTGGCACGCTATGTTGCTCCTGGGAGACACAGACCAGAGCACATGGCTGCAGCAAAGAGGGTGTTGCGCTACGTGTGCAGTACGTAGGGCATGGGGCTAGTGCTTGGAGGGCGACGTCAAGTAGTCCTCAGAGGTCACGCTGACGCTTCTTGGGCTGACGACAAGACTCTGCAGCGGTCGTCACAGGGTTACACCTTCAGCCTTGGCTCCGTCTTTTTTTCGTGGCGGTCTACCCGCTCGTCTTCTGTTCTCAGCTCCAGCTGTGAGGCTGAGATCTACGCAGGGGCCATGGCTGCACAGGAGTTACGCTGGCTCACCTACCTGCTGACTGACCTAGGAGAGCCGCCTCGTTCTCCTCCAGTTTTGTACGTAGACAACAAGGCCATGCTGGTATTGTGTCGGGAGCACAGACTGGAGCACAGAACGAAGCACATTGCTCTCTGCTACTTCCTGGATCGTGAGCTGCAGCAGCGTGGTCAGCTCCGCCTCACCTACGTGGCCTCTGAGGCCAACACTGTCAAACACTATATGTGTTATTATTGTGTAGGCTATAGTGGGTTAGCCTTTAGGGGGTACTCAAAGTTAGGGTTTCCTACTTGTACTCTTAACTTTCATAGTGCAATAAACTCTCTCAGTCTAACATGGTATTACGAGCCTAGGTGAGGAACCTAGGACCGTTCCTAAGGGCCCACCGTTTCCGCTCGGAGCGCCCTCGTGCGCCGTCCTTTCTAGCGCCCTCGTGCGCCTTGCTCCTAGTGCGCCCTCGTGCGCCGCCCCTTAGTGGCCCCGCTGGCCCCGTCGATTCGTGCACTCGCCCCTTAGCGGCCTCGCTGGCCCCGTCAACCCCGTGCGCCCGCCCCTTAACGTCCCCACTGGCCCCGTTGACCCCGTGCGCCCGCCCCTTAGTGGCCCCAGGTGGCACCCTTGACCACGTGCGCCCGCCCCTTAGCGGCCCCGCTGGCCCCGTCGAACCCGTGCGCCCGCCCCTTAGCGGCCCCGCTGGCCTTGTCGACCCCGTGCGCCCGCCCCTTAGCGGCCCCAGGTGGCCCCCTCGACCACGTGCGCCCGCCCCTTAGCGGCCTCGCTCGCCCCGTCGACCCCGTGCGCCCGCCCTTTAGCGGCCCCACTGGCCCCGTCGACCCCGTGCGCCCGCCCCTTAGCGGCCCCAGGTGGCCCCCTCGACCACGTGCACCCGCCCCTTAGCGGCCCCGCTGGCCCCGTCGACCCCGTGCGCCCGCCCCTTAGCAGCCCCGCTGGCCCCGTCGACCCCAAGTTCCGCCCCTTAGCGGCCCCCAGCTGGTCTCGTCGGCCCGTGCGCCCGCCCCTTAGCACCCCGCTGCGACACCCACGGCCCCGCCAGAACGAGCAGCCCAGCGCGAACCGAGCTACCTGACCCCAACCGAGCCGCCCGAGCCGAGCCGCCCAGCCCGAACCAAGCCGCGCCACATGAACCCAGCCGCGCCGCCCTACCCGAGCCGAGCCGCCCTACCTGAACTGAGCCGCGCCGCCCGTACTGGACCGAGCCGCCCTACCTGACTCGCTGCCTACTGTTGTTCGGTTCCTACTAGTGCTACTGCTGCTGCTATGGCTAGCCCACCTGTGCTAGCTTTCGATGCTGAGGGCCGCCCAGTGAAGTTCGATACCTGGCTAGATGACCTACCTCTTCCTACAGCTCACTGCCAAGGAGGACATCTCACTGTACGATCACGCCCTAGGCCATGCTACTGCTCCTACTGCTACTGCTGACAGCACTCCCCGCTCACAATGGCAGACTCGTGACGCCCACGCCCGCTTCGCTATTCGCAACTCCCTGTCGATAGACGAGCGTGAGCACTTTGACCAGCACAAGACAGCCCAGGCACTGTACACTGTTGTAGTTGCCCGCTACTCCTTACCTGCCTCTGCTGCGCTAGGCCGTCTCTCACTCCCCTACCTGTTTCCCGACCTGGCCTCGTTCCACACAGTCGCTGACCTCATCACGCACCTCCGTACTAGTGAGGCCCGCTTTCGTGCCACCATGCCTGATGAGTTTCTTGCCACAAACCCTACCCCGCTATGGCTCACTCTCTACCACCTAGTCACCCGCCTCCCTGACACTCTGCGTGGTGTCAGGGATCACTTCCTAGTTCGCTGCCCCACTGAGCTCACCATTGCCCTCCCCAGTAAGGAACTGCTTGCAGCTGAGGCTAGCATAGTCGCTGTAGGTGCCTCTCATGGCGACCCCCGCACCCCTTTCTTTGAGGGGTGTTCCCCTTCCCCCCTTCTTCCCTCTGTAGCCTCTGCTTCTGCTGTCGACCTCCTTGGTGCTGAGAAGGTCGGGGCTGCGTCTGCCTCGAGCGAGCGCCGCAGCAGCAAGGGCAAAGGGGGCAAGGGAGGCGGAGGTGACGGCGAGGGAGGCAGTGGTGGGGGTGGTGGCGGCGGTGGAGGTGGTGGTGGTACAGGTGGGGCTAGTGGCAGCGGTGGGGGTGGTGGCGGC